GCAGGCGCTGCTCTCCCTGCGCGTCCTCCAGCAGATGGACGGGGCCATCCTCTGCCTCCTGCAGCAGCCCAGCGGCAAGGCGTATCTGCCGGCCCACGGCTGGCCCTCCCTGCGGCAGTGCTGTGAGGAGGGGGGGGGGGGCCGGGAAGAGGGGGAGTGAATGGGACGGGGATGGAATGGAGGTGGGATGGGGATCGGGTTGGGGGGGGGGGGGGGAAGGGGACAGAAATGGGACGGCGGTGGCGATGGGGCTGAGGATTGGGAAAGAGATGGAGACGAAGCCGGGAGCCCCCACGGCTCCCTCCCCCGACTCCGTCTCCTCTCGCCCCCAGGCTCCAACCACGGTGCCCGCACACAGGAGCTGGGCGCCAGCAGCCTGCACAGCCTGGAGACCCTGGAGGCGGCGGGGCCTTCAGCGGGACCCCCCCCGCCCCTTCCCGGCTCGGAGCCCCCCGGCCGGCCCCGCGGCGGCCCCCCCGAGTCCTACCTGTCTGGCGGGCAGCAGCAGTGGTTGGCGCTGCGGCTGCACGGAGCGCGGCGCTGGCGCGTCCCCGGCCTGCCGTGCATGGCCAAGAGCCCCGAGGGCTGAGCGCGGCCGAAATAAAGCCACGCGGCGCTGAGCTCCGGCTTCTGTCCCGGTCCCTGGGGTCTCGCGCGGGGGGTCCGGCCCGCACCGTGGCCGCGAGCATCCCGACCCGTCGCGCTCCGCCCCGCGCCGTCACCGTCTGCCATCGGCTGCCGCTGTCCTTCGTGGGTGCCCCCGCGGGGACACCGGGCGGGGCTCCTTCCCCGCCGCCTTCGAGCTCCGTGTCCGGCTCCCCGCGGTGGTGCCCAGGGGTCCCGGCCCCGAGCATCCGCGGAGTCGGGGTCTGAATCGGAGATTCGCTCCCGCGGTGTCCGCGCGTGCACGGGGGCCATGGGGACCCCCGCCCGCCCCGCGACCCGCTTGTTTCGCGCGGTGCCGCCGGTGCCGGTGGGACTACGGCTCCCATGATGCCGCCGCCTCCTCCCGGTCACTTCCTCCGCGCGGCGGGGCGGGGTCCGGCCGAGCGGCGCGCCCCTTCCCCTCCCTCCGCTCCCGGTCCCGGTGCCGCCGGGATGTCCGCCTCCAGCACGGCCGAGCCGGGCGCTACCGCCCGCTCCCCGTTCGCCTCGGCAAGTATCGGGAGCGGAGCCCCGGAGTGGTGCCGGGGGTTCCCCGCCGGGGGCGGTGAGTGGGAGGGGGCCGCGGGGGTCCCGGCGGGGCGCGCGGTGACGGGCCGTCCGTGCACGCAGGGCCCGAGCGCGGAGCAGCGGCAGCAGGAGGAGGAAGAGGAGGGGGAGGAAGAAGAGGGGGAGGACGGCGCCGGGGGGGCGCGGCCCTGGGCTCCCCCGGAGAAACTCCTGCACGAAGCGCGGCTCAGGGCCAAGGCCAAGCGGCGGCTGCGGCGCACCTCGTCCCGGGACTCCGCCCGGGAGCCGTCGGCCGAGGAGCCGGGCGCCGAACCCGGCAGCCCCAAGGGCAGAGCGCACGACCGCAGATCGCGCGGCGGGAAGGGCCGCGGGCTGCCCAAGAAAGGTGAGCGCGGGGCGGCCCCGCGAGGTGCGCGCCGTGCCCCCCCCCCCCCCGGCTGAGCCCCTGCCGTGCCCGCTGCAGGCGGCGCCGGGGGTAAAGGCGTGTGGGGGGCCCCCGGCGTGGTGTACGGCTACCAGGAGCCCGACGCCCGCGACCCCAACTACGATGAAGTGGCGCAGGTACGACCCCGCCCCCCACCTCCCCCCCAACCCCCAGCCATCACTGCGGGCGCCTCTCCGGAGCCTCCCGTCCGACCCCGCAGGGGGACACGGTCTACGCCACCGTGGTGCCCGAACTGGAGGAGGACGAGCTGGAGCAGAACGTGCAGCCCATGGTGCTGGAGTACTTCGAGCACGGGGACACCGGCGAGGTCGTGGTGCGTCGGGGGCGAGGGGACCCTTGGGGGGAAGGAGGAGTCTGCATCCACAGCCCCCGTGCCATCCTGCAGACCGGCTGGGAAGGAACATTGCAGCGGGGAGGGGGTCCAGGGCTGGTGGGAGCCCTCAGGAAGGAGCGAAGTCTCTTGTGGAGGGGATGGGGGGCACCGTAGTGCCGGAGGGGATTTGGGGCCAGGCTGCAGCACGGGGCAGGGTGTGAGCACCCACTGGCGCTGCGGTGCCGGGCGCAGGAGCTGCTGCGGGGGCTGAACCTGGGCGGCCGGCGGCACGCGGTGCCCTCGCTGGCGGTGGCACTGGCGCTGGAGGGCAAAGCCAGCCACAGGGAGCTGACATCACGGCTGCTGTCTGAGCTGGTGGGCCACGTGCTGAGCCCCGAGGACGTCGCTTGGGCCTTCGACAAGATGCTGCGGGACCTCCCCGACCTCATCCTCGACACCCCCGAGGCCCCTCAGGTGCCGGCGGGGACGTGCTGTTAGGGACGGGGCCACGGCGGAGAGCGGGCCGGGGGTCCTCGCGCTGACCCCGTGCCCCCCACAGATGTTGGGGCAGTTCATTGCCCGGGCGGTGGCCGACCACGCGCTGCCCCTGGGCTTCCTGGAGCGCTACAGAGGCCGCGTGGACTGCGAGCACGCCAGGTGAGCGCTGCCCTCCCCCCGCTGCCCTCCCCCCGCTGCCCTCCCCCCACTGCCCTCCCCCCACTGCCCTCCCCCCGCTGCCCTCCCCCCGCTGCCCGCCCCATGCCCTGCACTCACTTGCTGCTCCACAGGGCCGCCCTGGACCGCGCCGCCGTCCTGCTCCGCATCAAGCGTGACGTCAACCGGCTGGACAACGTGTGGGGTGTGGGGGGTGGGCAGCGCCCCGTCAAGCACCTGGTGAAGGAGGTCAGCGGGAACCAGAGCACCTCCCAGTGCCTGCTGGTGTGCCGTGCTGCTGCCTTGTCCCTTCGTGCATCCCTGTGGCCGCCGCTCTGCCCCATCCCCTCGGCCCCCCCTTGTCTCCGGATGCGCCCTGCATGTCCCCTGCCGTGCTCCTTGTCCCTGGCTGTGCCCGTGTGCTGTCCCCGCTCCCAGCCCTGTGTTCATCCGCTCACAGTGCCACCAACCCCACACGTCCCAGTGCCGTCCCTGCATCCACACCGTGTCCCTGTGCCACATTCCCATGCGTGTCCCACGCCGCGTCCCCATACCAGACCCCATGCCACACCAGATCCCCATACCAGATCCCCATACCAGATCCCCATGCCATACCAGATCCCCATACCAGATCCCCATACCAGATCCCCATACCAGATCCCCATACCAGATCCCCATACCAGACCCCATGCCACACCAGATCCCCATACCAGATCCCCATACCAGATCCCCATACCAGATCCCCATGCCATACCAGATCCCCATGCCATACCAGATCCCCATACCAGATCCCCATACCAGATCCCCATGCCACACCAGATCCCCATACCAGATCCCTATGCCACACCAGATCCCCATACCAGATCCCTATGCCACACCAGATCCCTACACCACACCAGATCCCTATACCAGATCCCCATGCCACACCAGATCCCTACGCCACACCAGATCCCCATACCAGATCTCCATGCCACACCAGATCCCCATACCAGATCCCCATGCCACACCAGATCCCCATACCAGATCCCTATGCCACACCAGATCCCCACGCCACACCAGATCCCCACACCAGATCCCCATGCCACACCAGATCCCTATACCAGATCCCCATGCCACACCAGATCCCCATACCAGATCCCTATGCCATACCAGATCCCCATGCCACACCAGATCCCCACACCACACCAGATCCCCACACCAGATCCCCATGCCACACCAGATCCCCATACCAGATCCCCATGCCACACCAGATCCCCACACCAGATTCCTATACCAGATCTCCACGCCACACCAGATCCCCATGCCATACACTTGTGGCACATCCTTGTGCAGCATCCCCCGCTGCGCCTCCCTGCTGCACCCCACGTCCCCATGCCACATCCCCTCGTTCTGCACAACATCCCCGTGCTGCATCCCAGCGTCCCTGTGCCACGTCCCCGTGTCACCGTGTCCGCGTGCCTGCACCACGTCCCGCAGATGAACCTGTTATTGCGTGAGTACCTGCTGTCCGGGGAGGTGTCGGAGGCTGAGCGCTGCCTGCGGGCGCTGGAGGTGCCGCACTTCCACCACGAGTTGGTGTACGAGGTGAGCGCCGTGCCGGGCGGCGCTGCGGAGCCCCGCGGCCCCGCTGATGCGTGACGCCTGCAGGCGGTGGTGATGGTGCTGGAGGGCTGCGGGGACGCGCCGGTGACGACGGTGGTGACGCTGCTGCAGGTGCTGTGGGAGACCGGGTTGGTGACGCTGGACCAGATGAACCGGGTGAGCACGGGATGGGGGCGCGGGGCAGCACCGACACCGACGCCAACGACGCCGATGTGGCTGCAGGGCTTCCAGCGGGTCTACGCGGCGCTGGCTGACCTCAGCCTGGATGCACCGCTGGCCCACGCGCGCCTGGAGCGGCTGCTGGAGCTGTGCTGTCAGCGCGGCGTGGTGACACGGGCGCTGCGCGATGCCTGTCCTGCCAGGTATGGGACGGGGGGACACGGGGGGACACGGGGGGACACGGGGCACCGCCAGGTTTGGGATACGGGGACGTGGAGACCTGGGACCCTGCCGGGTACGGGATGGGGCCGGGGCGGCCGCGGGGTCCCGCCAGCTCTGGGACACGGAGCGGGGCACCGCACGACACCCGCACGGTCCTGTGGGACGGGGGGCGCCGGGGGGCCGCCGGGTACGGGACGCGGGGACGCGGGGACGCGGTGGGGCGGCGATCTGCCATCACCCCCCTCACAGGGGCCGGAAGCGTTTCGTCAGCGAGGGCGACGGGGGCCGCGTGAAGCAGTGAGCGCCGCGCCGAGCCCCGCAGCGCCGGGCACAATAAAGATCTGCCGGGAGCCCCGCTCCGCGTCCGCGCTCAGTCCTCCCGCAAGCGGCTCCGCAGGGGGGCGCCGCGGCCCGGCGGCTCTCCGTCCTTCCCGGCGGGTCGCGCGGCGATGACGTCTCCGAGATGGCGGCGGAGAGGCGGCGGCGCGGCGCCGAGGGCCCCCGGGAGGCGCGGGTCCGAGCCCGGGAGCGCGGGGCCGCGCGGGGGGAGCGGGGCGGGCGCGGCGCGCTGGGGCTGGCGGCGGCGCTGGCGCTGGGGCTGGGGCTGGCGGCCGCGGGGGCGCTCCTGGCGCAGTGGGGCCGCTGGCGAGCGGCTTCCCGCGCCGTCAGCCCGCACCCCGCCGCGCCCGCGCTGCCCCCCGGCGCCACCGGGCCCGGCGCCGCGCCGCACCGCTTCTGGGGCTCCTACCGCCCGCACGTCTACTTCGGCATGAAGACCCGCAGCCCCCGCAGCGTCGTCACCGGTGCGTGCGGGGCGGGGGGCGGGGGGCGGGGGGGCCGGGTCCGGTCTGACCGCCGCCACCCCCCCCCCCCCAGGGCTGATGTGGCTGCAGCAGCGGGAGGGCGCGGAGCTGCGGCACACCTGCGAGCAGAGCGACGGGCTGCGGCGCTACGGCTGGCTGCTGCACGACGGGGAGCGCTTCGGCCTGCAGGACATCCACGACCGAGGGCTGCTGCTGCGCACCGAGTTCGTTAAGCGGCCCGGGGGGCTGCACGGCGGGGACTGGAGCTGGCGCGTCACCGCCCGGCCGGAGGTGGGGCCGCAGCCCGGCGTGGTGCCGCGAGCGCGGAGCCGCGAGCCCGAGGACGGACCGCGGGAGTTGGCGGCGCCCCGCGCTCCTTCGCTCCTCCTCCCTCGCAGGGCGCGGGTAGCCAGGCCGCTCTGGTCTCCCTCTTCTTCTACGTGGCCACGGACGGGCAGGGCGAGCTGCGGCCGCACGTGGAGGACGGCGCCCGGCTGGCGGCCGTGACGGGGACGTCGGAGGAGCTGGGCGACTTCAAGATCACCTTCCACAGGCCGACCGCGGACGACGGGGAGGGCGTCAAGTACAGCAGGTGCCCAGCGGCCCGGTGCCTCCCGGCCCCGCGGCGCCGCGGGGCGCTGACGGCCTCTCTCCGCTCGCAGCTACCGCTACCTGGACGCGTGGAGCCCGGGGCTGCACCGCCTCACCGACGTGGTGCGCAGCAGTCTGAGCGACCGCTTCGTCTTCGCCCCCCCGGAGGGGCCCCGGCAGCGCTTCGTGGCCGTGGACGCGTTCCGCGGGCTGCCGGGCACGGCGGAGGCCCCGCGCAGCCACCTCCTGCTGCACCAGGTGACGCTGCGGCTGCCGGCCCGCGTGGAGGTGACCTTCGAGTCGGGCAGCGTGCGGGAGCGGCGCGCCGCGCTGCTGGGGCCGGTGCTGACGGCGGAGCTGGCGCGGCACCAGGCCGCCTTCGAGCGGCGCTTCGAGGAAACCTTCGGGCTGGAACGCAAAGGCTTCCCCCCCTCGCAGCGGCGCTTCGCGCAGGCGGCGCTCAGCAACACGCTGGGCGGGATGGGCTACTTCCACGGGCGCTCCCTGGTGCGCTCCCCGCTGCACGAGCAGCCCGCGCCCTACCCCGACAGCTCGCTCTTCACCGCCGTGCCCTCCCGCTCCTTCTTCCCCCGCGGCTTCCTGTGGGACGAAGGCTTCCACCAGCTGCTGCTGGCGCGCTGGGACCCCGAGCTGAGCCGCGAGGTGCTGGCGCACTGGCTGGACCTGATGAACGCCGACGGCTGGATCCCGCGGGAGCAGATCCTGGGCGACGAGGCGCGCGCCAAGGTGCCGCCCGAGTTCGTGGTGCAGCACAGCGACGTCGCCAACCCCCCCACGCTCTTCCTGGCGCTGCAGCCGCTGCTGGCCTCCGCCCCGCTGCCGTACCTGCGGCGCCTCTTCCCCCGCCTGCGCGCCTGGTACGAGTGGTACAACGGCACGCAGGCCGGCCCGCTGCCCCACACCTTCCGCTGGCGCGGCCGCGACGCCGACCCCGAGCGCTTCCTCAACCCCAAGACGCTGGCGTCGGGGCTGGACGATTACCCCCGCGCCTCGCACCCCTCGGCGGACGAGCGGCACCTGGACCTGCGCTGCTGGATGGCGTTGGCCTCCCGGGTGCTGGCGGAGGCGGCCGAGCGGCTGGGCGAGCCGGCGGAGCCGTACCGGAGCGCGGAGAGGGCGCTGAGCGACAACGAGCTGCTGGAGCGGCTGCACTGGGCCGAGGAGCTCGGCGCCTTCGCCGACTTCGGCAACCACAGCCGGGCGGTGGAGCTGCGGCGCGAGGCGGGGCGGGCGGCCCCCGGGCGGCCCCCCCCGGCCCCGCGGGTGGTGCGGGTGGTGCGCGAGGCGCCCCGGCTCCGCTTCGTGGACGCCCTGGGCTACGTCAGCCTCTTCCCGCTGCTGCTGCAGCTGCTGCGCCCCGACTCCCCTCGGCTGGGCGCCGTGCTGGATGCCGTGCGCGACGAGCGGCGGCTCTGGACGCCCTTCGGCCTGCGCTCGCTCGCCCGCGACAGCCCGCTGTACATGCGGCGCAACACCGAGCACGACCCGCCCTACTGGCGGGGCTCCGTGTGGGTCAACATCAACTACCTGGCGCTGCGGGCGCTGCACGGCTACGCCGACCGGCCGGGTCCGCACCGCGAGCGGGCGGAGCGGCTGTACGGGGAGCTGCGGCACAACCTGATCGGCAACCTGTACCGGCAGTACGCCGAGAGCGGCTACCTGTGGGAGCACTACAGCGACAGCACGGGCAGGGGGCAGGGCTCGCACCCCTTCACCGGCTGGTCGGCGCTCGTGGTGCTGGCGATGGCCGAGGACTACTAGCGGCTTCCTCAGGGCCGGGCGGCCCGGCCCCGGGGCTCCGGTCCTCCGCCGCCAATAAAGCTCGGATGTGACGCTCGTCGCCGCCCGCGTTGGGGGTCAGCGTGACGGCGTTGCGGTCACCGTGCGCGCGCGGCCGCCGCTGCCCAGCCCCGTCCGTTTCCCCGCGCCGCTGCCCGTAGCGCCGCCTCAGCGCGGGGTTCTTCGCCCGCGGGGAGCTGAGCCGCTTGGCGGCTGGGCGAGCGCCCCGACCCGCGGCCGGGCACGGCGAGGTCGTGATTCCACATCTTTAATGATGACGGAACGCTGCCGGGGTCGCGGCCACCCGCACCCAGGCCCGCGGGCTGCAGCGGGACGGAGCCGCCCTCGCGATCGGGACGGCTGGGGCCCGGCTCCCCGGAAGCGGTTCGGAGGGAAAGGCGCGGGGCGCGGCGGTGCCGCAGCAGGGTACCGGCGGGGCCGCCCCGGGGGCTCCGCGGCGAGAGTCCACAGCCCGGGGACGGCGGCGGGGAGCGGAGGCGAGGGAGGGCGGCCGCGCCGCGCCCGGGCCCTCTGAGCAGGGGCGGCTTCGGCACCGCGGTGCCCCCAGCCCGGCTGCTCCAAGGCGGGGCGCGGCGGCGGCGGCGGCGGCGGCGGGGAGAAGCGCGGGCCGCTCCGGGTGGGGCGGCGGCGGCGGCCACGCGGCCGGTCGGGGCCCCTCACACGGGCAGGGGAGCGGCGCCCGGCTCGGCACTGCCCGGCTCGGCCGGGACGCCGCGTTGGGGCCGCGCGGAGCCGGCCTTGCCCAGCAGGCGCGCTCCCTCGCCCTCGCTCTCCTCGCCGGCCTCCTCCTCCTGGCAGCGCCCCACCTCGATGCCGGAGTCGCCCGTCAGCCGCCGGTGCCGGCGATGCTCGCCGCCCTCCTCCGTCGCCGCGCCGCGCCCTTCCTCCTCCTCCTCCTCCTCGCCCTCCTCGATGTCGGAGCAGCGGTGGCAGTCGGCCTCGAAGAAGTCCACGTTGGAGGAGAAGAGCGCGTGTTTGTGCGGGGCCGGGCGGGCGGGCGGCTCCTCGGGCAGCTCCCAGCTGGCGCCGGTGCCGGTGCTGCTGGTGCCGCACTCCTCGCTGGGCGTGCTGGCCTGGCTGCGCTCCGTCTCGTCCGTCACCTGCACCGAGAGCGAGGTGCTGCTGGGGGACGTGACGCAGCTCGACTCGCACGAGCAGCTGGTGTAGTTCTCCGAGCTGGGCGACAGCGTCAGGCTGCTGGAGCCCAGGCGGCTGCGGGGCCCGCTCAGCTGCGCCAGGATGGAGCTGTAGGGCGGAGGCGGCGTGCCGGGCCGGTGGGCCACCTCCTCGTAGGCGGGCAGCTTGAAGGAGGCCAGCATCCCTGCCGGCAGAGGGCGGGGGGTGAGCGCGGCGCGGCCGGACCGAACGGAGGAACGGGGGACGGGCGGGGCGGAGGCACTCACTGAGGTCCATCATGGAGGCGGGGTAGTTGCAGGCACCGTGGTAGGCGATGAGGTTGATCTCCCGCTGCCGCTGCTGCTGCTGCAGGCGCAGCTTGGCCCGCCGGTGCCGGTAGGCGCAGCAGCAGCTGAAGAGGATGAGGACGGTCCAGAGCAACCAGAACCCTGCGGGCACAGCGCCGTGTCCGTCCCACCTCGCCGCCCCCGGCCCCGCCCCGCGCCCCGCACTCACACCACAGCTCGTAGTAGTACGTGCAGCAGCCGCTCTCCCCGCAGCAGTGCCCGGTCTCGCACACGTACGGCTGGTTGTTCACCCCCGGGCAGAACTCCCGGGCCTGCGGGGCACAACCGACCCATCGCGGCCGGCTCCAGCGGGAGCGGCGGGGGCCGGGATGGGGCCGGGCCGGAGCCCGGGGCGGCGCGGCGCCCGGAGGCCGGGCCGGGTCGTGGCGGCTCCGTTCCGGCCCTCGCCCCGCGCCGCCCCGTTCCGGCCCCCGTACCTGGTGCTGCCGGCCCAGCAGCGCGGCCCAGGCCCCCTCGGCGCCGCCGCCGGGCCGCTCCATGGCGCCGCCTACAGCCCTCGGCGGCCCCGCGCCGGCTCCTCCCGCTCGGCCGCCCCGGCCCCCGCCGCCCGCAGCAGCAGCCGCCGACCCCCCGCCGTCGCCGCCGCCAGCCCCATGGCGGCCGCCCGGGCCCCCGCCGCAGCCCGGGCCGCGGCCTCCGCCGCCGCCATCACTCCCCGGCCCGAGGTCCCGCCCCCCCGCCGCCCTCCTCGCCAATCCGACGCCGCCCTGCCGCCGCCGGCCAACGGGAGTCGCCGCCGCCGCCCCGCCTCGTCCAATCGGCGGCCTCTGCCCGAGCCTCACGCCCAACAACAGAGACAAAGGGACCGAGTCCCGCCCGCTCGGCACCCGCCGCCAATCGGAGGCGCGGCCCCGCCCTCCCGGCCGCGACCGACGGGAGCCCCAGCCAACGGCGGCCTCGCCCTCCCTCACCGCGCGTGACGGACGGGCATCGACGCCAACCGCGCGCCCGGGCCCGCCCCCGGGGCGGCCGCTTGCGAGCGAGCAGCCAAAGAAAAGCGAAAGCGCGATTCGTCTGAAGATTGACAGCGGTGCCGACCAACCAGAGCGCTGTTCTGTCCCGCCAACGGGCCGCCGCCCCGCGCACCGGGAGCGCGGCGCCGCACGCACGCGGTCCCGCCCCGTTCCCCGCGTGCGGCGCTGCGAGTCCCGGTGCGCGGGGCGCCGGCCGGCGTCCGTGCCGTCCCGCAGCGTCGGTCCCAGCCCGCGGTCAGGCGGCGGCCTCCTGCAGCTGCAGGTTGCGCTTGTAGCAGGCCAGGCTGCAGAGCGGCAGCCCGGTGCGGGAGCAGCAATAACGGCGGCGGTTGGCGCAGCCGCTGACCCCGCAGAGCGCGGCCGGCGGCACCGGGGGGGCGGTGCTGGGCAGCAGCGGCAGCGCGGCGCCCGCGGGGAAGGAGACGGTGATGAGATCGGCGGCGTTGCGGTACTGCACCACGGGGCAGGCGGCCGGCCGGGCGCGGCGCTCTCGCAGCGCCTTCACTTTGGCTTTGTGGGTCTTGGTGAGCCGCTCGATGGTTTGGTTCTTGTTCTCCTCCGCCTTCTTGGCTGCCTGCAGGCGCCGTTTGCGCGCCCGCTCCTCGCGCTTCACCAGCATCTCCTCCGTCAGCTCCTTGGCCTTGTAGCCCATGGGCAGCTCCAGCAGCGGCTGGCTCTGCTGCTTGTGCAGGAGGGCTCTCTGCGGGGCACGGCGACGTGAGGCAGCGGCACGCGGCACCCAGCCCTGAGCTGCCGTCCCCCCCCCGAGCCCCGTCCCGCCCCTCACCTGCCGCGCCGTCAGCAGGGATTCGTCCACTTCCTTCTTGAGCTCTCCGTTGTCGTCCAGCTCGCCCTTCTCCAGGGCGTCCAGCCAACGCTCCTCTTCCTCCTCCTCATCCTCGCGGGTGGGGAAGCAACTCTCCGAGTCCAGGTCCGGCAAGGGGGAGGGGTCCAGGTTGCTGTCCTCATCTGAGCCGGGCGGTGAAGGACAGAGAATCACCGTAGGAAAAGCCACGTTTGCTCTGTCCTGGGGTGGCCTCATCCCCACACCACGGTGGACGACCCACGCTGCCCACTGGTGCGGAAACCTCGCTCAGCGGGGCCCGGAGCAGTGCGTGGTGTGGGGGCGCTCCCAGCCCACCCAAAGCCTGCGGGAGGGACGAGTACCAGCCCAGCTCTGCCTCAGGCCCCCAGCCCACCTCCTCCCCCCACGCTCTTCCCCTCAGTGCTTACCCAGCCAGGCCCGGTACTGCTCAATGGGAACTCCTTCGGTGGGCTCATCCTCCTCGTCCACCACCATCAGCGGGGAGGGGGAACTCTGTGCTTCAGGGACCACGGTGAAGGTGGGCACACTGCAGGGGGGGAAATGTGCTGCCCCTGAGGTCGGGCAGAGCTGGGGGGCACCAACATGGGGGACTGCGGTGCTGGGATGTGGGGACGCAGAGCAGGAGCCAGGCGGGTGCCAGCGCCAGGACCTCCCCACGGACATGGGACTGGGGGCTCGGCAGGGCAGGGACCGCGATCCAACCCCAGGATGCCCCTCCCGCCATCCCTGCGGAGACACGACGAAGGGCCCGGTGGGGCAGAGCGCGGCCCCTGGCTCTGGGGGGGAGGGGTTCGCCCTCACCTCTTGGTGCCCAGGATCTGCCCCCCCAATTTGATCTTCAGCTTCAGCTGCGGTTTCCGCGGGGCGGCCGCGGGCTGCGGGGCCTCGGGCACAGCCGCGGCCTCGTGGTGGTGCTTCTTCTTGTGCTTCTTCTTGTGCTTCTTGTGCTTCTTCTTGTGCGCGCCGTGCCCGCCGCCATCGTCCTCCTCACCTGCGGGAGCCGCCATGAGGCCCCGAGCCGGGAGCGGACCCTCACCTAAAGCCCGAAGGAGCCGCAGCCCCTCTGCCCGGCCCCGGCCTCACCGTGCTCGCCGCCTTCCATCCTGCCCCGCCGCCACGCTTTGCTCATCGGCCCGGGCCGCCCGCGCCCGGCGGTGGTGCCGCTGATGGAGCCCGAAACCGCGCCGTGGGGGAACGCATTCCAGACGGACCCACTTCCGCCCGCCGCTCAGCAAACATCCGGCGCGGGCGAACGGGCGGGGAGAGCGCCGCCGCCGCCATCTTTGAAGCGGGCAGAGTCCGCCGGACAGCGCCGTCCGGGTGGGAAACTGCAACCGCGCGGCCGCGGGGCCGGGTCCCGCGTTCAGCCCCGGCCACGTGCGGCGCGTCCGTGGGGTTCGGGGCCGCTTCCTGCGGGCAGCCCCACGCGCGGGGCAGCAGCGCCTGAACGCGGACACGCGCACGGGCGGCCGAGCACCGACACACGCGGTTGCGCCCACGCGCATTGCCACTCACGCACCCCGGTCGTCGTCCCCCCCCCCCCCCCAAGCCCGTGCAGCTGCAGCCTTCAGTCGCCCTTTGTCTGCCGCTACCGGTGGCTCCGCGCCCGCCCAGTGCCAGGACCCGCCCGGTACCGTCCCCGCCTCCCCCCGGCTGCCGGAGGGTCCGCGGAGCGGCGCGGTCCCGGTGCGATGTTCTCCCGGTCCCAACGCGGCCGCGCGACCGTGGCGCGGGGTTCGGCGCTGCAGACGGAGCTGCTCCGCGCCCCGCAGGTACGGGCGGAGCCACGCGCGTCCGGGAGCCCCGCGGCGGTGGGAGCGGCGGGATCGCGCCGCCGCCGGGAAGGGCGAAGGCGCCGCCGCTCCCACCCGGCCCGTCCCGTCCGGGCTGTCCCTCCCGTCCCGCCGGTACTACGGGGCGCTGCCGGTCCGGGAGGAGCGGATCCCACGGCCCCTCCCGGCCTCGAGGCGGCACCGCGCGCCGTTTGCCCCGCGGGAGAGCAGCGCTGCGTTAACCGAGCTGGGATCGCTCGTACCGCGTTGTGCCGCGTTGTCTCGAGCTGTGCTAAACTGTGCTGAGCCGCGCTCTGTAGGGCCGCGCTGTTCTGCTCTGTGCTGCGCTATGGGGCCGTGCCGCTCCGTGCCGTGCTCTGTAGGGCTGTGCTGTGTTATGTAGGGCCGTGCCGTGCTCTGCAGCCCTGTCCCGTGCTACGTGGGGCTGTGCTGTGCCCTGTAGGGCTGTGCCGTGCCGCTCCGTGCCGTGCTCTATAGGGCCGTGCCGTGCTCTATAGGGCCGTGCCGTGCTCTATGGGGCCGCGCTGTTCTGCTCTGTGCTGTGCTATGGGGCCGTGCCCTGTAGGGCCGTGCTCTGTAGGGCTGTGCTGTGTTATGTAGGGCCGTGCCGTGCTCTGCAGCCCTGTCCCGTGCTATGTGGGGCTGTGCCGTGCTCTATAGGGCCGCGCTGTTCTGCTCTGCGCTGCGCTATGGGGCCGTGCCCTGTAGGGCCGCTCCGTGCTCTGTAGCCCCGCACCGTTCCGTGCCATGTGGACCCGCAGCGCTCCGCACCGTCCCGACGCGGCGCCCCTTCCCCGTCCCGCCGCCAGGGGGCGCTCTCACCCCGCACCCCCATCCCCGCCCAGCGGTGCGGTGCCGCCCTCTGTAACCGGAGCCGCCGCAGCCGCCGCCGCCGCCGCCGCCACCGCCGCCGCCGCCGCCGCCGCCGGAGGAATGCGGGGGGCGGACGGCGATCTCCGCCTTTCCTTGCGCGGTGCGGAGCCGTACGGAGCTGCGGGGCCGGGAGCGGGGCAGGTAGCGGGAAGTCGGGGGCTGGAAGGGGGTGCGGGAAGCACCGATAGGGGGCAGCGGGAGGATGACGATTGGGGGGGGGGGGTGCCACGTCCCCAAAGCCCCGCACCCCGTTGATCCACCCGCGCTGCCCTTTCCCCGCACAACGGCTGTTTGTTTCCTCGCTTTGGGGAGGGAGGGGAAAGGAAGGGAAGGAAGAGGAGGGGGGGGGGGGGGGGGATGAAAGAGCCCCATTTTTCTTCCCTCTCCTTGCAGCCCTTTCGGGGGGGAGGGGGGGGGTCCCCGCTCCCGGTATCGGTGTGGGATCGATGGAGGTGGCGGATAAATTACGCATTTTGGAGGACCTCAACATGCTTTACATCCGGCAGATCGCTCTCAGTTTGGAGGTAATTTGGGGAGGGGGGAGGGGGTGAAAAAGGGGGGGGGGGGGGGGGTGGGCATGCCTTCCGTTTTCCGCAGGGCAGGGGACCCCGGGGGGGGGGGGGGGGGCGGCCGGTTCCGGCCGCCCCCCACCCCCCCCCCGGGTCCCCTGCCCTGCTGTTGAGTGCCTTGAAACGGGGTTTGAATCGATGGGGGGCTCGTGGGGAGGGGGCTTAACGCTCCCCCCCCCCCCCCCCCCCCTGCAATGAGTATTAATAGCGGTGATGTCACCGCTGCGGCTCCACCGTTGCCCTGAGCTGGGATGGAGAGCTGCGGGGCTGTGAGTGCGGGGCGCCATGGGGGGCGGCTATGGGGTGACCCCCCCCCCACCCATAACCCCGTTCGCTGTTGCTTGTGGGGCTGGGGGGGGGAGGGGGTCGGTTGGGGGTCTGTGTGGGGCGCGCGGTTGTCTGTGGGGTGGGGAAGGTGTTGGTGGGGGCGCGGGGGTCCCCCGTGGGGTCTGCAATGGGGCTGTGGGGCTGTGATGGGGCTGTGGGGGTCCCCTGTGGGGTCTATAGGGTGTGAGATGTGGCTGTGGGGTGTAGGGCTCCTCTGTGGGGTCTGCAATGGGGCTGTGATGGGGCTGTGGGTGTCCTGCATGGGGTGCTTGAGGTGTCTATAGGGTATGGAGATGTGTCTGTGGGGTGTAGGGGCTATGGGGGTCCCCTGTGGGGTCTATAGGGTGTGAGATGTGGCTGTGGGGTGTAGGACTCCTCTGTGGGGCTGTGATGTGGCTGTGGGGTTGTGGGAGTCCTCTATGGGGTGCATAATGCATCTGTGGGGTGTGAGATGTGGCTGTGGGGTGTAGGGCTCCTCTGTGGGGTCTGCAATGGGGCTGTGATGGGGCTGTGGGGCTGTGGGTGTCCTGCATGGGGTGCTTGAGGTGTCTATAGGGTATGAAGATGTGTCCGTGGGGTGTAGGGGCTGTGGGGGTCCCCTGTGGGTTCTGTAATGCATCTGTGGGGTGTGAGATGTGTCTGTGGGGTGTAGGGCTCCTCTGTGGGGTGTGTGATGGGGCTGTGGGGCTGTAATGGGGCGGTGGGGCGGTGGGGGTCCCCTGTGGGGTCTATAGGGTGTGAGATGTGTCCATGGAGTATAGGGCTCCTCTATGGGGTCTGTAACGTATCTGTGGGGCTGGGATCTTTCTGTGGGGCTGTGGGGGTCCCCTGTGGGGTCTGTAATGCATCTGTGGGGTGTGAGATGTGGCTGTGGGGTGTAGGGCTCCTCTGTGGGGTCTGCAATGGGGCTATGATGGGGCTGTGATGGGGCGCGGGGGTCCCCTGTGGGGTCTGCAATGGGGCTGTGATGGGGCTGTGGGGCTGTGATGGGGCGGTGGGGGTCCCCTGTGGGGTCTGCAATGGGGCTGTGGGGCTGTGATGGGGCGGTGGGGGTCCCCTGTGGGGTCTGCAATGGGGCTGTGGGGCTGTGATGGGGCTGTGGGGCGGTGGGGGTCCCCTGTGGGGTCTGCAATGGGGCTGTGGGGCTGTGATGGGGCTGTGGGGCTGTGATGGGGCTGTGGGGCTGTGATGGGGCTGTGGGGCTGTGGGAGTCCTTCATGGGGTGCATAATGCATCTGTAGGGTATGAGATGTGTCTGTGGGGTACAGGGCTCCTCTATGGGGTGTGTGATGTGGCTGTGGGGCTGTAGGGGTCCCCTGTGGGGTCTGTAATGCGTCTGTGGGGTGTGAGATGTGGCTGTGGGGTATAGGGCTCCTCTATGGGGTGTGTGATGGGGCTGTGGGGCTGTGATGGGGCTGTGATGGGGCTGTGGGGGTCCCCTGTGGGGTCTATAGGGTGTGAGATGTGTCCGTGGAGTATAGGGCTCCTCTATGGGGTCTGTAACGTATCTGTGGGGCTGGGATCTTTCTGTGGGGCTGTGGGGGTCCCCTGTGGGGTCTGTAATGCATCTGTGGGGTGTGAGATGTGTCAGTGGGGTATAGGGCTCCTCTATGGGGTGAGTGGTGTGACTGTGGGGCTGTAGGGGTCCCCTGTGGGGTCTGTAATGCATCTGTGGGGTGTGAGATGTGGCTGTGGGTCTGCGATGGGGCTGTGGGGGTCCTCCATAGGGTGTGTGGAGCACGAGACGTGTTTGTGGGGTGTTTGGGTTCTCTGTGGGGTGAGTGATGGGGTTGTGGGTGTCCTTTGTGGGGTGGGTAATGGCTGTGGGGCGTGTAACGTTTCTGTGGGGCTGTGGAGGTCCCCTGTGGGTTCTGTAATGCATCTATGGGGTGTGAGATGTGTCTGTGGGGTGTAGGGCTCCTCTGTGGGGTGTGTGACGTATCTGTGGGGCTGTGGGGGTCCCCTGTGGGTCTATAGGGTGTGAGATGTGTCCGTGGAGTATAGGGCTCCTCTATGGGGTCTGTAAAGTATCTGTGGGGCTGGGATCTTTCTGTGGGACTGTGGGGGTCCCCTGTGGGGTCTGCAATGCGTCTGTGGGGTGTGAGATGTGTCCGTGGGGTGTAAGGCTCCTCCATGGGGTGTGTGATGGGTTTGTGGGGCTGTGATGAGGCTGTGGGGTTGTGGGGTCCTCCATGGGGTGCGTAATGCGACTGTAGAGTATGAGATGTGTCTATGGGGCCTAGGGGTTCCCCGTGGGGTCTGTAGTGCATCCATGGGGCACACAGCCCATCCATGGGGCATACAGCCCATCCATGGGGCACACAGCTCATCCATGGGGCACACAGGGCATCCATGGGGCACACAGCGCATCCATGGGGCACACAGGGCATCCATGGGGCACACAGGGCATCCATGGGGCACACAGCGCATCCATGGGGCACACAGCACATCCATGGGGCACACAGGGCATCCATGGGGCACACAGGGCATCCATGGGGCACACAGCGCATCCATGGGGCACACAGCACATCCATGGGGCACACAGCTCATCCATGGGGCACACAGGGCATCCATGGGGCACACAGCCCATCCGTGGGGCACACAGGGCATCCATGGGGCACACAGTGCATCCATGGGGCACACAGCCCATCCATGGGGCACACAGCACATCCATGGGGCACACAGCCCATCCATGGGGCACACAGCACATCCATGGGCACACAGGGCATCCATGGGGCGCACAGCACATCCATGGGGCACACAGCCCATCCATGGGGCACACATCCAAGGGGCACACAGCCCATCCATGGGGCACACAGCGCATCCATGGGGCACACAGCCCATCCATGGGGCACACAGCACATCCATGGGGCACACAGGGCATCCATGGGCACACAGCCCATCCATGGGGCACACAGCACATCCATGGGGCACACATCCATGGGGCAAACATCCAAGGGGCACACAGCCCATCCATGGGGCACACAGCGCATCCATGGGGCACACAGCCCATCATCCATGGGGCACACAGGGCATCCATGGGGCACACAGGGCATCCATGGGCACACAGCACATCCATGGGGCACACAGCCCATCCATGGGGCACACATCCATGGGCACACAGCACGTCCATGGGGCACACATCCATGGGGCAAACATCCAAGGGGCACACAGCGCATCCATGGGCACACAGGGCATTCATGGGGCACACAGCCCATCTATGGGGCACACAGCCCATCCATGGGCACACAGCGCATCCATGGGGCACACATCCGTGGGGCACACAGCGCATCCATGGGGCTCATAGCTGTGCCGTGCGCTGCCCTCTGGGGGTCAGGACCCTTCCCGTGGCGCTGCACCGCGATGCAGCCGTGGGGCTGGGCGCACTTGGGCTGGGTTGGCTGGGCCGGGACCCACAGGGACCCCACGGGACCCACGGGACCCACGGGACCCACGGCGACCCCACGGCCGCTCCGCCGCCCCGCAGGACACGGAGATCCAGAAGAAGATCGACCACGAGATCCGCATGCGGGAGGGCGCCTGCAAGCTGCTGGCCGCCTGCACACAGCGGGCGCAGGCGCTGGAGGCCACCAAGAGCCTGCAGGTCTGCAACAGCCGCATCCTGGCCTACATGGCCGAGCTGCAGCGCATGAAGGAGGCGCAGGTGATGCAGCGCGCGGCCAGGCGGTGAGCAGCACGGGGGGGGGGGGGCGGCGGGTCCCCGCAGCCGTCACGGCTCCGCGCTTCCCCCCCGCAGCCCCTCGGATGCCGGACCCGCGGATGAGAGGCTGCCGTGCCGGGGGAGGGTCTGCGTGTCGGGTATGGGGGGCGGGGGGGGGGCGGGGGGGGTGGATGGGGGGCGCAGGGCAGCCACTGCTGGGGGGCGATGGGGGTCCCGCGGTGGGGAGGGCAATGGGGGTCCCGTGGCTGGGGATGCGGTGGGGGTCCCATGGTGTGGGGATACTGGGGGTCCCAGGGTGGGGAGGGCAATGGGGGTCCCAGGGTGTGGGGATGCCAGGGGTCCCAGTTTGGGGAGGGCAATGGGGGTCTCATGATGTGGGGATGCTGGGGGTCCCAGGGTGGAAGGGCACTGGGCACTGGGCACCCACTGCTGGGGGGCGATGGGGGTCCCGCGGTGGGGACGGCAATGGGGGTCCCAGGGTGTGGAGATGCATTGGGAGTCCCAGGGTGGGGAGGGCAATGGGGGTCCCATGGCTGAGAATGCAGTGGGGGTCCCATGGTGTGGGGATACTGGGGGTCCCACCGTGGGAAGGGCAATGGGGGTCCCAGGGTGTGGGGATGCCAGGGGTGCCAGGGTGGGGAGGGCAATGGGGGTCCCATGGCTGGGGGTACGGTGGGGGTCTCATGATGTGGGGATGCTGGGGGTCCCAGGGTGGGAGGGCACTGGGAACTGCATGGCTGGGGGAGCACTGGGGGTCCCATGGCTGGGGATGCTGGGGGTCCCGCGGTGGGAAGGGCAATGGGGGTCCCAGGGTGTGGGGATGGGGTGGGGGTCCCAAGGTGTGGGGAGGTACTGGGGGTCTCATGGTGAGGGTGGGCAGCGGGGGTCCCATGGCTGGGTGGGCACTGGGCACCCACTGCTGGGGGGTGATGAGGGTCCCAGGGTGTGGGGATACTGGGGGTCCCACCGTGGGAAGGGCAATGGGGGTCCCAGGGTGTGGGGATGCATTCGGGGTCCCATGATGTGGGGATACTGGGGGTCCCAAGGTGTGGGGAGGTACTGGGGGTCTCATGGTGAGGGTGGGCAGCGGGGGTCCCGTGGCTGGGTGGGCACTGGGCAGCCACTGCTGGGGGGCGATGGGGGTCCCGCGGTGGGGAGGGCAATGGGGGTCCCATGTTGTGGGGATGCATTGGGGGTCCCAAGGTGTGGGGATGCCAGGGGTCCCAGGGTAGGGAGGGCAGTGGGGGCCCCAGAGTGTGTGGATGCATTGGGGGTCCCATGATGTGGGGATACTGGGGGTCCCGCGGTGGGAAGGGCAATGGGGGTCGCAGGGTGTGGGGATGCTGGGGGTCCCAGGGTGGGGAGGGCAATGGGGATCCTATGGCTGGGGATGCAGTGGGGGTCCCATGGTGTGGGGAGCTGGGGGTCCCAGGGTAGGAGGGCACTGGGCACTGGGCAGCCACTGCTGGGGGGCGATGGGGGTCTCGCGGTGGGGAGGGCAATGGGGGTCCCAGGGTGTGGGGATGCCTGGGGACCCGTGGTGGGAAGGACAATGGGGTCCCATAGTCTGGGGATGCATTGGGGGTCCTGTGGTGTGGGGAGATACTGGGGGTCCCATGGTGAGGGTGGGCAGCGGGGGTCCCGTGGTTGGGTGGGCACTGGGCACCCACTGCTGGGGGGTGATGGGGGTCCCATTCTGTGGGGAGGCGCTGGGGGTCCTGTGGTGAGGAGGGCAATGGGGGTCCCAGGGTGTGGGGATGCCTGGGGTCCCAGGGTGGGGAGGGCAATGGGGGTCCCGTGGCTGGGGATGCGGTGGGGGTCCCATGGTGTGGGGATGCCTGGGGACCCGTGGTGGGAAGGACAATGGGGGTCCCATAGTCTGGGGATGCATTGGGGGTCCCATGGTGTGAGGATGCTGGGGGTCCCATGGTGAGGATGGGCAGCGGGGGTCCCGTGGTTGGGTGGGCACTCGGCATTGACTGCTGGGGGGCGATGGGGGTCCCGTGTTGAGGGCTGTTGGGGGCTCCATAGGGGGGAATAACCAGGCATCAAGGGGATGGTGGGGTCATATGGTGAGGAGGGCAGTGGGGGTCCCAGGGTGTGGGGATGCCTGGGGTCCCAGGGTGGGGAGGGCAATGGGGGTCCCGTGGCTGGGGATGCGGTGGGGGTCCCATGGTGTGGGGATACTGGGGGTCCCACCGTGGGAAGGGCAATGGGGGTCCCAGGGTGTGGGGATGCCAGGGATGCCGGGGTGGGGAGGGCACTGGGGGTCCCATGGCTGGGGATGCTGGGGGTCCCGTGGTGAGGAGGGCAGTGGGAGTCCCAGGGTGTGGGGATGCCGGGGGTCCCGCTATTGATGGGGGTCCCAGGGCCTTGAGGTTCCCGCAGCCTCACCGCCGCCCCCCCCGCCAGACCTGCGCATCCCGCTGATGTGGAAGGACACGGAGTACTTCAGGAACAAAGGGGGTGAGCTGGGGGGGGGGGGGTGGTGGTGGTGGTGGTGGTCCCGCACCCCCCCCCCCCCCCCGCTCCCCGCACCTCCTGACCCCCCGCCCCGCGCAGAGCTGCACCGCTGCGCCGTCTTCTGCCTCCTGCAGCTGGGCGCCGAGATCCACGACACCGAGATGGTGCTGGTGGACCGCACGCTCACCGACATCTGCTTCGAGAGCGCCGTGCTCTTGTGAGCGCCCCGCACCTCCGCGTCCCCGCGCCGCCCCGCGCCGCACGGCCTCGCATCCCCGCATCCCACACCGCGGCAGCCCATGGCGCCGCGTCCCCGCGTCCCCGGGTCCCTGCATCCCTGTGTCCCCACGTCCCCCTGTGTCGCCTTCGCACAGCCTCGCATCCCCACACTGCCACACCGCGGCAGCCCGCGTCCCCACATCCCTGTGTCCCTGCGTCCCCATGTCCCCACATCCCTGTGTCCCTGTGTCCCCGCACCCCTGTGTCCCCGTGTCCCCGCATCCTCGCATCCCCACGTCCCCGTGTCTCCTCATCCCTGCATCCCTGTGTCCCTGCACCCCTATGTCCCCATGTCCCCACATCCCTACATCCCCATGTACCCACATTCTTGCATCCCTGCGTCCCCATGTCCCCACGTCCCTGCACCCCCGTGTCCCCATCTCCCCGCATCCTCGCATCCCCATGTCCCCGTGTCCCCTCATCCCCACATCCCCATGTACCCACATTCCTGCATCCCTGCGTCCCCATGTCCCCATGTCCCCATGTCCCCTCATCCCAGCATCCCCGTGTACCCGTGTCCCCACATCCCTGTGTCCCTGCGCCCCTATGTCCCCATGTCCCCACATCCCCACATCCCCATGTACCCACATTCTTGCGTCCCTGCGTCCCCACATCCCCGTGTCCCCATGTCCCCATGTCCCCACATCCCCGTGTCCCCACATCCCCACATCCCCGTGTCCCCACACCCCCCGATCTCACACCCAGCCCCGTGTCCCCTCGTGCCACATCCTCACACCTCTACACCCCGCGTCCCCGCACCCCACGCGCGCCCGTTTCCGTCTCCTTATCCCCGCCTCCCCCCTCCACCCCCCCGGGCCCCGACCCCGCGCTGACGCCGCTCTCAGCTCGGAGGCCGGCCCGGATTTCCTGCTGAAGGTGGAGCTGTACAGCGCGGGGCTGGGGGACGACGTGGGGGGCAGCGCGCCCAGGAAGCTGGCCAGCAAACTCAGCAGCTCCCTGGGCCGCTCCGCCGGGCGCCGCCTGCGGGCCACCATGGATGGGGGGCCTGGGAGCCCCACGGCAAACGGGGGGGGGGCTCTGCTGCTGCCGGCCCCCAGCGTGCCGTGAGTGCCGGCGTGTGACTGTGAGGGGGGGATATGGGGTGGGATGGATGGGATGGGATGGGATGGGATGGGGTGGGATGGGATGGGATGGGGTGGGATGGGATGGGATGGGATGGGATGGGATGGGATGGGATGGGATGGGATGGGATGGGATGGGATGGGATGGGATGGGATGGATGGGATGGGATGGGATGGGATGGATGGGGTGGGATGGGATGGGATGGGATGGGATGGAATGGTGTGGGGTGGGGTGGGAGGGTATGGGATGGGATGGGATGGGATGGGGATGGGGATGGGGTGGGGTGGGATGGGATGGGGATGGGGATGGGGTGAGATGGGGATGAGGAAGGAATGGGGTAGGGATAGAATGGGTATGGGGATGGGAAGGGTGGAGATGGGATGGGGATGGGATGGGATGGGATGGGAATGGGATGGGATGGGAATGACCTGAACCCACAGTGCTCCACACCTCTGTGTCCCTCTGTCTGTGTGTCCCTGTGTCCCAACACGGGTGGGAATGGGAGCAGAGATGGGGTTGGAATGGGGCCGAGGATGGCAGTGGGATGGGAACGGAGGCGAAAATAGGAATGGAAAGGGATGTGGGCATCCGGGAGCGCGGGGGCGCCAATGTGGGGTGCGGGGCCGTGGGGGGGCGCAGTGCCCCTCAGCCCCGCGCCCTGCAGGGGTCCCAAATATCACCTGCTGGCGCACACCGTGCTGTCCCTGGCCGAGGTGCAGGACGGATTCCGCACGCACGACCTCGCCATCGCCTGCAGCGGTGAGCAAAGGGGGCGCGGGGGGCCGAGGGGGGCCGCGCTTCGGGGAGGGGGGGCCGATGCGGGGATGCGGTCACAGCAAGGCGGGGAGGGGAGGGGGGCGCCTGGGGGTCTTCCCTGCGCCGGGCGGCCGCTGAGTGCCGTGTGCCCCCCCCCCCCCCAGAGGAGAGCTCCTTCTGGCTGCCGCTGTACGGCAGTATGTGCTGCCGCCTGGCTGCACAGCCCCGCTGCATGGCGGCGCAGGTGATGTGCGGCTTCCTGAAGGTGCAGGTATGTGGGGGGGATCGGGGGGCACGGGGGGGTGTGGGGCAGGGGGAGATGGGGAGGGGAATGGGGAAGAGGAGGGGGCGGCGTTGGGGGGGATGGAAATGGAATGGGAGCGTTGGCAAGGTGCGATGGGATGGAGGTTGGATGGGGGTGGGGATGGGATGGGATGGGATGGGATGGGAGGGGATGGGGTGGGATGGGATGGGATGGGATGGGATGGGATGGGATGGGATGGGATGGGATGGGATGGGATGGGATGGGATGGATGGGATGGGATGGGGTGGGATGGGATGGGATGGGATGGGATGGGGTGGGGTGGGATGGGATGGGATGGGATGGGATGGGATGGGATGGGATGGGATGGGATGGGATGGGATGGGATGGGATGGGATGGGATGGGATGGGAGGGGATGGGAGGGGAGGGGATGGGAGGGGAGGGGATGGGATGGGGATGGGATGGGATGGGATGGGGTGGGATGGGATGGGATGGGATGGGGATGGGATGGGATGGGATGGGATGGGATGGGGTGGGATGGGATGGGATGGGATGGGATGGATGGGATGGGATGGGGTGGGATGGGATGGGAGGGGATGGGTTTGGATGGGATGGGGTGGGATGGGGTGGGGTGGGATGGGATGGGATGGGATGGGATGGGGTGGGATGGGGATGGGATGGGGTGGGATGGGGTGGGATGGGATGGGGTGGGATGGGGTGGGATGGGATGGGATGGGATGGGATGGGATGGGATGGGCAGCACGGTGGGGGCGGGGATGGAAACGGGTCGGGGGTGCCGTGGGGCCGGGCGGCAGCAGCAGCCCCCACCTCTCAGCCACCACCGGCAGCGGCTGCGGTGCGACGGGAGCGGGGATCCCCGCGGTGGGCGGCTGGGGGTCGCGGTCCTTACGGCCTCCCTCCTCGCAGCAGGCGCCGGGGGATCCGCAGGGCTGGGCGCGGCTGTTCTGCGTGCTGCGCGGCACCAACCTGCTGTGCTACCGGCGGGCGCAGGAGGCGGAGGGCGGCGTGCAGCCCGCGCTCACCATCGCCATCAACAAGGTTTGGGGGCTCATTTGGGGGGGAGGCGGCTGCGGGCGGGGGGCTGACGGCCGTGCCGTGCAGGAGACGCGGATCCGCGCCACGGAGCAGGAGGCGCGGGGCAAACTGCACAGCATGACGGTGACCAACCGCTACGGGGCGGAGGAGGTGACGCACACGCTGCTGGCCGAGAGCCGCGCCGAGACGCAGCGCTGGATGGAGGCGTTCTGGCAGCACTTCTACGACATGAGTGCGTGGGGCCGGGGCACGGCGGCACCCCGAGACACCCCGGCCCGGCCCGCACCGCGCTTACGGCCGTGGGCCGCGGCCCGACCCCCCCCCCCGTGCCCGCAGGTCAGTGGAAGCAGTGCTGCGACGAGCTGATGCGCATCGACGCGCCGCCGCCGCGCCGCCCGCCCGCCCCGCTGCCGCGCCAGGGATCGCTGTACCACGAGATGGGTGAGCGCAGCCTCCTCCTCTTCCTGCTGCTCCTCTTCCTCCTTCTCTTCCTCGCTCTCTTCCTCCTCCTCATCCTCCTCTTCCTCCTCCTGCTGCCCGGCTCTCTGCCGTCTGCTCTCCCTGTGTCTCCGCTCCTCTCTGTGCTCCTCTCCGCGCTCGGTGCCAGCGCTGCCCGGCCCGGCCGTGCCCTCCTGCGAGGGGCTCCTGCTGCAGGATAACGCCGTCTCGGCGGAGATCCGCGCGCTGCTCTCCTCCTATTACAGCGACAGGTGACGTACGGGGCCTCTGCCGCCGCTGCTCGGTGCCCACTGTGGGGCACGGCTGTGGGGCACGGCGTGGGACGCGGCACCGCTGTGCATCTCCCGGCTGTGCTGCCGTGGGTGCAGCCCGGCCAGCGTGGCTGCAGAGCACAGCGCAGTTGTCCCGGCTGTGGGGCACATCCCTACTATAGGGCACATCCCAGCCATAGGGCACATCCCATCTATAGGGCACATCCCATCTATAGGGCACATCCCAGCTATAGGGCACATCCCCACCATAGGGCACATCCTGTCTATAGGGCACATCCCAGCCATAGGGCACATCCCGGCTATAGGGCACATCCCCACCATAGGGCACATCCCATCTATAGGGCACATCCCAGCCATAGGGCACATCCCAGCCATAGGGCACATCCCAGCTATAGGGCACATCCCGGCTATAGGGCACATCCCATCTATAGGGCACATCCCAGCTATAGGGCACATCCCGGCTATAGGGCACATCCCATCTATAGGGCACATCCCATCTATAGGGCACATCCCAGCTATAGGGCACATCCCGGCTATAGGGCACATCCCATCTATAGGGCACATCCCAGCTATAGGGCACATCCCGGCTATAGGGCACATCCCATCTATAGGGCACATCCCATCTATAGGGCACATCCCAGCCATAGGGCACATCCCAGCTATAGGGCACATCCCATCTATAGGGCACATCCCATCTATAGGGCACATCCCAGCCATAGGGCACATCCCGGCTATAGGGCACATCCCATCTATAGGGCACATCCCAGCTATAGGGCACATCCCGGCTATAGGGCACATCCCAGCCATAGGGCACATCCCATCTATAGGGCACATCCCATCTATAGGGCACATCCCGGCTATAGGGCACATCCCAGCCATAGGGCACATCCCATCTATGGGGCACATCCCAGCTATAGGGCACATCCCAGCTATAGGGCACATCCCATCTATGGGGCACATCCCATCTATAGGGCACATCCCAGCTATAGGGCACATCCCATCTATAGGGCACATCCCATCCATAGGGCACATCCCAGCTATAGGGCACATCCCATCTATAGGGCACATCCCAGCTATAGGGCACATCCCATCTATAGGGCACATCCCGGCTATAGGGCACATCCCAGCTATAGGGCACATCCCAGCCATAGGGCGCATCCCAGCTATAGGGCACATCCCATCTATAGGGCACATCCCATCTATAGGGCACATCCCATCCATAGGGCACATCCCCGCTATGGGGCACATCCCATCTATAGGGCGCATCCCATCTATAGGGCACATCCCATCTATAGGGCACATCCCAGCTATAGGGCACATCCCATCTATAGGGCACATCCCGGCTATAGGGCACATCCCATCTATAGGGCACATCCCGGCTATAGGGCACATCCCAGCTATAGGGCACATCCCAGCCATAGGGCACATCCCGGCTATAGGGCACATCCCAGCTATAGGGCACATCCCAGCCATAGGGCACATCCCATCTATAGGGCACATCCCAGCCATAGGGCACATCCCATCTATAGGGCACATCCCATCTATGGGGCACATCCCATCTATGGGGCACATCCCATCTATAGGGCACATCCCAGCTATAGGGCACATCCCATCTATAGGGCACATCCCAGCTATAGGGCACATCCCATCTATAGGGCACATTCCCGGCTATAGGGCACATCCCAGCCATAGGGCGCATCCCAGCTATAGGGCACATCCCCATCTATAGGGCACATCCCATCTATAGGGCACATCCCATCCATAGGGCACATCCCCGCTATGGGGCACATCCCATCTATAGGGCGCATCCCATCTATAGGGCACATCCCATCTATAGGGCACATCCCAGCTATAGGGCACATCCCATCTATAGGGCACATCCCGGCTATAGGGCACATCCCATCTATAGGGCACATCCCGGCTATAGGGCACATCCCAGCTATAGGGCACATCCCAGCCATAGGGCACATCCCGGCTATAGGGCACATCCCAGCTATAGGGCACATCCCAGCCATAGGGCACATCCCATCTATAGGGCACATCCCAGCCATAGGGCACATCCCATCTATAGGGCACATCCCATCTATGGGGCACATCCCATCTATAGGGCACATCCCAGCTATAGGGCACATCCCATCCATAGGGCGCATCCCATCCATAGGGCACATCCCCGCTATGGCGCGCATCCCGGCCGCGTCCCCTGGCGCAGCGCACGTCCCGTTTGTCCCCGTCCCGGTGCTGCAGTCACCCGGCTGTAGTCCCGCCCCGCGCACCGCATCCATGGGGCACGGCGTGTCCGTGGGGCGCGCCCCCCTCCTTCGACCCCCCCCTCCGCGGTGCGCAGCCCCCCGCCCCGCCGCTGACCGTCCTTCCCCGCAGCTATTGACCCTTCCGACGACATCGAGGCCGTGACGGACATCCTGACGCGGCGCGCTGCGGCGCTGGCGGGGGGGGCGCGGGGCTGCCCCCCGTGGCTCTCCCTCTTCGAGGGTCCCCCCCCGCACGCCGCCCCCCCCGCCGGCTGCAGCCCCCGGCCCCGCGCCCGTCCCCGCACGCTGTCGCTGGACGCCAAGCTCAGCACCCTGAAGGGCCGGGGGGGAACCCGGCGCGCCCCCTCCCCGCGCCCCCCGCCCGGCTCCGGCTCCTCCAGCCCCGGCAGCTCCGGTTCCGACACCGAACGCGCCGCCACCCCCGGGCCGCCTTCAGTCCCAGGTGTGAACCCGGCACCCCGGGGGGCTCT